TTATTGTATTAAAAATACAATTATGGTACAAGGCCGAAAAGTGAGAAAGGGGTTGAGGCTGGTCTTCACTACCTATCTTATACCTAGCTAATCCGTTTCACGACCCATTCCCTCGTTACAATTCGCGTATTCACAACAAAAACTCGTCGGTCACCAATCCTCCATACACCATAATACCGCATCCTCACGAGGGGGTCCTACAAAACGCACCCCGAGATTTAAAATTGTAATGATAATAAATATTTCGTAGATAAAAATCTATTTGACAACGAGAGTTGGGGGATGACACCCCCGCAAAAAAAAAAAACAACTAATTATTAAACATGCAATATTTACCACAGGAACGCCCCACTATTGAGACAACCCCAAGAATGAGATAAAGCACTCGGAGTTCCTCTTTTCAGGGCGTAGACGATCAGGGGCATCCACAGTTTCATGCCCGTTGTAGCTCCAATACATTTTGTTTTTTGCTACTTCTCCTAAATCCTGTTCTACTATCCATTCATTTTCAATCTCTCTCTCTCTCTCTCTCTCTGTCATACACACACACATACACACACACACACACGTTGCTTAAATTATTATTATTAATTAAGCATGAATTTCCTTCGTGTTCCCATTTTCTTTAAAACCTCGTGGTAGCCGTGTAGCCATCTTGACATCATTTTTTGTAAGAATCACTGAAAACCCCTTTCAGTTATTCAGCTAAAAAATAAAACAGGTTAAAATCGTTCTGTGTCAGCCGCACTCTCTTCCAAACTGAGCAATTCAGGCCTTCAGTAATGTCACCAACATTCATACGCTGGCTTCCATCTTCAAAGTTCACCCAAGAGAACGGTGAATAAGTTTAAAAATGTGGGAACAGCAGAGAGATAAACTAGATCGGCAGGTTACAACAGGAGGAGGGAACATCATTTCAACTTAGAGCTGAAGAGATCAATTAAAATAGATCCAACTCAGTTTATAAGACGTTTCAAACTCTAGAGGTGGGGGACTTCAGCTATGACAGTCCAAAAAGCCGGTAAAAAAAGACATGAAAATGAAATCGTACGTGAAACCTGCGATGTACGTTGTTACGCCAGGTGAGAAAGTTAGAATGTTAGAGAGAGCGAAGATCATCTTGAATAAATTGCAAAATGATCCTAAAATAATATCTCTCTATATATATTTGAATATTATTTTAATCCTTCATGAGCTTTCGATCCTTAGCTATGATTAATTAATGATGAACTATGTCATTTTCGTTTATGACCGATTTTATCACGATTCTGTTAAACTTAGTGGGGTAATTAATTCTGATTGCTAAAAGTAGAGTCCAATAGTGTTTTAAAAACCTCGGATAATTTCAGTGACATAACATTAATCAATTGTAAAGATAAAACAGTTCGGAACTTAATCTAACAATTTTGCTGTTACACGGTTTGGACAATTTTACTGTTACACACATTATATATTAATACATTTTTTCCTCGCCAGTAACACGGTTTTTATGTGCATGAGTGTATACTCTATATTAACTAGCTTGAGTTGGTTAGTTTATATCTACTTATATGTAGGTCCTGGTTATATATATATATTTTTTCATGTGAATGCTATCAAACATGGTGATATGTAATTAGATATTAACTTAATCTAGTATTGTTTGCAATTGAGGATATAAGTGTAGTATTTTCTGCATATGTGGTTATTTATATTCATCCATACTCTCTCTCCCTCTCTATCTCTCTCTCTCACACACACACACACACACACACACACACACACACACACATATATATATATATATATATATATATATATATATATATATATATATATAATAATTTACTTATGTAGATGTCACACATTATGAAATGGAAAAAATCCGACAATTATTTTAAAACATTTCTTTATGTTTATACATTCTTTTTATAGATACAAATATTTAAGTAAATGCTGTTTATAATAAACAGTACTAACGCCATTTATCAGCCTGAATGTCCGAGAAATTTTCATAGATAATATATGTCCTCGGAGAGCAATCTAACCTGTATCCTATACGGAAACATCATATAGCCTGACGTGCTTTACCGATGTAGCCACAGAGGACCGTTTCGGTTAGCAAGGTCGATTTTACTATTTTTAATCTACAATTCTCCATGATTTTCTCTCGCACATTCATATCTGATCGATGCGTATCCAAATGTAAACAAATGACGTCACGCATTATGAAATGGACAAAGTTAGACAATCATTTTAAGACATTTTTTATGTTTATAGGTTCTTTTTATTTCAGGCTGGTAAATGTCGTTAATACTGTTTATTATAAACAGAGCATTTGCGTAAATATTTCTATCTATAAAATGTCCGTAAAAACATAAAAAAAATGTCTTAGATGCGCAATGATTTTGGCAAATAACACTGTATTATAATATTTTTTATACAGAATTACATCTGTCGGAGTTACCTCCTCTTTCAGTTCGTATCCCTTTCACCAGAGGTCTCTCTTTCCTGGCTATAAATAGCCAATGACCCTTCACCTCGACCTCTTTTTTACTTTCAGGCCTGTGCACTGACACCTTGAGGTAATTTCTCTTATTCCTAGAGGATTCTAACTATCAACCTCGAAATGTAGTCGCTAACAAGGGATAGCGTGCACACACGCACGCACACACAGAATATTCACACACACCCACGCACGCACATACAAAATATTCACACACACTTCGTCCTTTGTACTGTTTCCCTGTATTGTAACTTGTTATGAATATATATTTGTTGTGTATACATATATTATCGGTCTTGTTTTGTTTGCTTTCTTTTCCTTCTTCTTTGGACTTAATCAAAGTCCAACCTTTTTATGTAGTTGGGCTCGGCAGGCAGGAGTATCTGAACCTTACAGGCGTTTCAGTCTACGTCTGACTTCTATCAACAACATAACTGCCATGGCGCTCTACACATCTGTATATTTACATTATAATTCTACTTTTTAACTTGAAGTGATTTGTGTGTGTATGTGTGTGTTATTACCGTTTTCATTATATTCATGATTATTTTAAATACAAAAGTAAGTTTTTATTTTTGAAAAACGTTCCCCTTATAAAATATAAACCACCCTACCATTACCCGATATATTTATATTCAAATTATGTAACAATGAGTCTCTGAAGATTTTGTTGTGCATGAAAAATTGTATATGTATTAATATATAATTTATAGCTCTGCTAAATTACATGTAATCCTATTTTATTAACACCAGAAATCAATGTGTTTATATTATAAAGGGTGTTCCAATAACAATTTTAATATGAATCAAGTTTAAGCGTCTATTGATTTGTTTTTTTTTTCTTTCAGCTTTGCCAGACTTTTGGGCGATATAATTTTTCACACATAATTATCATGACTTAAATAACATAATCCAATAGAGAAATAAATTAATTTCCACCAGTAATACTGATATATTTACTACTAACTTTGATTCGTCTTAATGAAACGCACTTATATATATGTATATATAATATATGTGGGTTTTTAGTTCGCAGATTTTCAATAGTAAGCGAGAACGTAATGGACTTTTACCAGTACTCCCTTTGAGTAGTACTCTTTTAGAGCTATTAATGACTATTGGCATTGCTAAAGATGCGATCCAAAAGCTAAGCAGAGTATTAAGAGACAGAAAATTCTCACTGGAAGCAAAAAAAAAAAAATGTTTACTGAACTGTTACGTGATATCTTTACTTATGCATGGGAGCGAATACTGGAAAATTTCGTCAAAGATGAAGAAGAGACTTAAAGCAACAGAAATGTGGTTTTACAGAAAGATGCTGAGGATACCATGAGCCGAGCATGTCAACAACGCCGAAGTATTGAAGAACATGGAAAAAAAGAAAAAAAATGAAAACTTATACTTAACATCAGGAAAGTCAAGCTGCAATTTTTTGGACACGTAATGAAGAAAGAGGACTTGGAAAATCTGATACTCACAGGATAAATTGAGGGAAAGAGAGACAGAGGAAGGCAGCGTGTAACACACTTGATGGCCTTGAGAAAATGGTTGAGAGAACAGGGTTTGGAAGGAATAGCAAAAACACAAAAAAAACAGTTGTGTGCGTAAGGTAAGATTGTATGTCAGAACGTATCGCATTTCAGAAAGGTTTTGAATTCAGAATTTTTTCTTCTCCTTTCCCGTATTGGTTACTCAGCCAGCGTAGTCATGTCTACTATTTCAGCCAAGGGACTGGTTCTTATATTTCCCAAGACTACTTGTGCGAAGTTGAACGTAACGGACGCGGTCGAGATTCGAAACCCGTCTTGCTGGTTTCACTTTTCAAATCGCTAACCATTACAATAACCACACGTTCACATGGTGTACACATAAATACGTGGAGAGGATTTTGGGTGAAAACTTGTAATTATATCTATCTATCTATCTATATCTATCTATATCTATATATATATCTATATCTATATCTATATCTATATATATATATATATATATATATATATATATATATATATATATATATATATATATATATATACTACTCCCCTGTAGCTATTATTTTAAGACTATGTTTATGTAATGGACTTCTGATTAATCCTACGTTTAGAAATTCTCTTTATAATACTTTTCGATCTACGCCGTTTCGTCCATTGTTTTATTTAATCTCGCATCCATTTTAATGCGTTTGTGATTATTTTCTTCATTTTTTTTCTGATGTTTATTCCTGCAGATTCCTCTTTAGTTGAACGTGCTGCACTTTTTACATTGCAATTATTTCCGTCATTTCATCGTAAAGCAATTGTTTTGATAAGGTAATGAATGAAGGTATCGGGGGAGAATCAAGCAACAATTATAAAAACAGTCAATGGTAGTGTATAAAAAAAAAAACATCTAGGAAGAAAAACGATAAGAAACATAAAACAATACATAAAAAAAAAGAAATCAGGGTAAGCAAAAAAAAGATTGGAATTTTTTTTGCCTATTCAAAAGCTGAAAGGAAGAGGGGGAAAAGGGGGAAAAATTAATAGAAATATTAAAACACAAAAGGAAAATGAGGAAAAAATGCGGATATGATAAAGACAAACTGACAATGAAAAAATGCGAAAATTGGAGATGCGAAAAACCAGAAAAAAGTCAGAAATGTAGCTGCGTTATGAAGAAGCGAGAATAAAATAGAAAGAAAGGGAGAAAAACGTAGAAAGGGAGCGAGAAAAAAAGAAAAGAAAGAAAGAAAAAAAAGGAAAGAAAATAAATGAGAAGAAACAAAGGAAAAAGAAAATGTCAAGAAATACATCTGAAGAAGTGGAAGAAAATAAGACAACGAAAATAAACAGAAAGTAATAATAGTTCGAAAGAAAAAAAGCGGGACCTAGAAGAAAAAAGTAACACAAATACAAAACAGAGGGGAAAGTAGAAAAAAAAGGAAATAGTAAGAAATAACAAATCATCGATAAATAAAGAATGTTAAAAAAACACACAAAAAATACAAGAGGCAGAAAATATAAAGCGAAAATCTTTAAAATGAAATCTTTCAGAAGAAGGCCAAAGAAATTAAATCCTAATCGAAAAAGGCTAAAAAATAACAAAAATTAATTGCAGTGTTACGTAAACCAGAAAATCAAATAACTGGGAGGCGAAATAGAACAATGAGAGGAAAAGTTGTTTTTTTTTTAAATAGATAATAAACAAAGGGAAAAAGGCCTATTATCCTATTATTCGTAATGAAGTTTAATCAAGGAGGCCAAGACGAAAACAATTTGGTTTGTAAATTTAAATGATTCATTGACGTCATATCACGTTATCCAATATATTAGTGTGTATTAAAAACCCCAGAATTATATAGCAAACTTATATCATGACCTGGCACAATTCATTTGAATTGTGTATTCAAACATAAAAGAACATTTTAGTTTCTGATTCGATAAATCCATTGTGAGATTTTTTAATTTCATGGATATTAGAAGTGCTGATTGAACATGGAGTATAACATAAGGCAGACCAATCTGCAGATGACAGATCTGAGGAATACGTCTTACAGAGAAGAAAATCCTATCCATATATGTTTGCCGCTTCAAAAATGATGATGACGTATATAATAATAAGCAGTTCATTTCTTTGCCTGATAAAATATCTGTTTTCGTTCTAATGCAACATTCAAACGCGCCAGTTTCTCATATTGTCGTTAGTTGATAACATTTCTCATCGTAGGAGCCTATGTTATAATAAACCCCATAAAATCCCCCATTCTTTTGTCGGTCGAAAAGCGAAATATAATTGCCTGTCTATCTATCTATCTATCTATCTATCTATCTATCTAATAACGATGGCAAAATACATTGTTTCAACGAAAATAGAAAAAAAATGGTTATTTCTGGAAGATAACGCTCTCCAGGCAAGCAGTCTCTGTGCTTAAAGCGCCCTATCAAGAGACGGAGCAGGAATCCTAGCAAGGAAAATTAACTGTTTACATTTTTGTCACCAGGTTCTCGGTCTCAAGTTGACTGCTGACCTGAGATGGAATAAATACATTGAGTCAATTGCTTCGTCCACCGCGAGGAAAGTTGGCTCCCTGAGCTGCGCCAGGAAGTTTTTCTCCCCGGAATCGATCCTTCAGATCTACAAATTAACAATTTGCCCTTGCATGGAGTATTGCTGCCATATATAGTCTGGTGCCCCTTCTGTTTGCCTCGGGGTTCTTGATAGGCTCCAGAGGCGGATATGCAATGTAGTTGGCCCTGCCCTGGCGTGTCGTCTACAGTCACTTTCTCAGAGACGCGCCGTCGCCTCCCTCTGTCTGTTCTACAAATACTTTCATGGAAATTGCTCCGAGGAGCTGCATTCGCTGGTTCCCAGACGTCATGAGTTCCAGCGCCTTACGAGGCTGGCATCCCGCTCGCACCCGTTCACTGTCGAAACTCCTAAATGTAGCCGTCTCTTCTACTGTAATAGCTTCATGTCTCACACCTCTCGCCTGTGGAACTCCCTTCCCTATTCCTGTTTCCCTGTGCGCTATAATCTCCAGCTATTCAAGTGTAATGTCAATCGACATCTCCAGTCGCCTTGATCTATCCACTACCCTCATCCTTTCTTCTATCACTCCTATCTGATCTTGCTCTAAATTTTCTGTAACCCCTTGCGTCCTAGTGGCTTCCCGCCTTGCTTGGTGTGAAATGCTTAAAAATGGGGGAGATGAGGCTTGATATTGGCTACTCATAGTAAGGACTGATAATTGAACACTTGATACTATCGTCTCTCTATCTTTCAGCCCTTATCCATCTATATACGCACTGCAATTTTCTACCAGAGTAATGAAGATTTTCTGTGACTTTTTACAATTATTGTCATGGATTTGTTCTAAGGAGCGTCCATCTTCGGTAGCTCTTATTTTAGGATTTCACTATAATAGCAGTTCGATGGCTAAATCGCATTATTTTACTCTTGGAATGATTAAATGTAACCGTAAATTCTACTGTATTAGTTTCAACTCTTGTACTCCTCACCTATGGAACTCTCTTCTT